GAAGAAGAAGAAGAAGAAGAAGAAGAAGAAGAAGAAGAAGGAGGAGGAGGAGGAGGAGGAGGAGGAGGAGGAGGAGGAGGCTGGAGGGAATCACAGAAGCAGTCTCCATGAGCTTAAATGGACTCCAGGGGATAACAGAGGACAGGAAGGCCTGGGGGAACGTGGTCCATGAGGTTGTGATGGGTCGGACATGACTTCGCAACTAACAACAAACTCCAAGAAGGACCAAGCTCTCAATCTTCTGCACCTCTCAGTTGGGTTCACACAGCCAATAAACCTTGATTCCTTTTTTTTTTTTTAGCATCACTGTAGCCAGATGTTTGCATGAATCGTCCTTGGATTTAAGACCACAATTGAGCCTAACAGTTATGTTGCTAAGCGAGACATTTCTGGAGTGAATTTTGCCTCAGGTTACAGCCTTCCTTGTCCCTGTTTTTAAGGGAATTGCTGCGGTTGTTAAGTTAGTCACATGATTATTAAGTGAATCCTGCTTCCCGCTGGTCAGAAGGTCGCAAAATGCGGATCGCGCTGCCACCATCGTAAATATGAGTCAGCTGCCATGCGGCCAAATTTTGATCACGTGACTGCAATGGTTGCAGGTGTGAAAAATCATCACGAGTCACTTTTTTCAGCGCCATTGTAACTTTGGTTGCTAAATGAACCATTGTAAGTTAAGGACTCCCTGTACTTCCAATCCAGATCTGGGTCAAAGTCAGAACATTCGATATTCCGTGAAATTAGAAGAAGAACAAAGTGAAGGAGACGATGATATCTTTAGGGAAAAATCTTTGGCTGTAGATAGAGTAGATAGAGTTAGATAAATGGCAGAAACTATGGGATAGAAACTGTAAACTAACAATGTCAACAGCTTATAAAGAAAATTTGCATAAGATGTTTTACAGATAGCATTTTGCCCCAGCAAGACTGGCAAAGGTGTTCAAAGACAAATCAGCGAAATGTTGGAAATGTCACCAGACACCTGGAACTTACTACCATATGTGGTGGACATGCACAGAAGCTAAAAGATATTGGACAAAAATACACACATGGTTGGAAAAGATGATAAAACAACATATAGATTTAAAGCCTGAGATATTTTTAATTGGGGATTTTACCCAAAAACTATAGCAAAGAAAAAACATATTTAATCATGCATGTATTCACAGCAGCTAGAATTATATTTGCTCAAAATTGGAAAAATGAAAAGATTTCGATAGAGGAAGAGGTGAGTGATTATGAAAATATTGGAATGTGCAGAAATGAGTAGATTAACATTGGCAATTAAAGAACAAGAAGAAGCAGAATGTTATAGGATATGGGATTTATTTTATAAATGGTTGGAAAATAAAGTAAGAAGTTAAATGATATTTTCATAATGGTAAGATATATAAGATTGAGTAGTTTGTAATTGTTGTGGTTCGCCAGCAGCAGGTGAGATGGCTGAGGTCTCGGAGAGCGAGGACTCAGATGAGGGGCCTGCGTGTGATGCAGGGGTGGGGCCAGGACCATCAGGGAGTGGAGATTGTGGAGGCTGGCAGCAGTGAGGAAGAGTCCCCCGAGGAGCCTGTGCTCAATGTGCATGCGCTCATGGCTGCTTGAAGGAAAGAGCAGCTGCAGCAGCACGGGTGACTCAGGAGTAAGGCTGCAAGGTAATGGCCCCTCCCCGAGAAGATAAAAGCCAGCTGAGAAACCGGAGTTCTTTGCAGGAAGCAAAGAAGTTTTTGCACTCAAGCCTGGTGGACATTTGGAAGATCTGAGTTTGGAGGCTCTTTGATTTATTGTTTAGGAACTTTATCTGTTGTTCTTGGCAGCCTTGCAAAAACTTTCTTATCGGAGCTAATTATTTGGAAGCAGCCTTTTATCCGTGAAGAAACAGGATTCATAAATGAAACATTAAAAGGTGGTTGTACAGGTGCTGGTATCTTTGTCTTGTGTTTGCTCTCTGGGAACCAGGTTTGGATCAGAACAGTAATATGAATGTCATCCTAATAAGAAATACATACAAAATATAAATACTTGCACAAGATATATGTACCCAATTGACACACTGTATAAATGAAAGATGGATTTGTTTTTAAAAAATTTAAAAAAAAACATTCAGTATTCTGGTCCAAGATCTTGTGTGAACACACCCAACAGTTTTGGATAATTTGGCGGTGAGAATCTTCTGAGCCCAGCCTACCTCACAGGGATGTTGTAGGGTTAAAAGGAGGCAGGGCCATCCTATACGCTGCCTTGATCTTGAGGAGAAAATAGAAAATACAATAAGAAATTGATAGGGACTGTCTGCAGATTTTCCTACTTTCCAGCGAATGAGGAAGACTCCACTTCTGAGTGACCAGAGTTTATCCTATTATATTTAATATATTATTAGATAGTTAATATATTTAGTAAACTAACCGAGGAGCTCTATTTTGTTACTACCAGAAGCTGGTCTCCCCGATATTAATAATTTTAACAACAACAAAATACTTTTCAAAGACTTTTGGCAAAATGGAGGATTATCAGAACAGGGCTGCGAAGCTCTAGCCCAACACTAGAGGGCAGGAAAGTCATTATTATTTTTTTTAAAGGGAGTTGCTACCACCTGGTGGCCACCTGCATTTTTGCAACCTAGTTGTTGTTTGTTGGTTTTGTTCCAATATTTGAGGGGCTGCCCCAAAGAAGGGGGAGTCAAACTATTCTCCAAAGCACCTGAAAGCGGAAAAAGAAGCAACAGATGGAAATTAATCAAGGAGAGAAGCAACCTGGAACTAGGGAGACATTTCCTGACTGTGAGGAGAATTAGTCAGTGGAACAACTTGACTCCCGAAGATGTAAATGTTCCAACATTGGAGGTCTTGAAGAAGAGACTGGACAAACTTTATTTGTCTGAAATGAAATAGGGCTTCCTGCCTGAGCAGGGGAGGTCAGACTGGAAGACCTCCAAAGATCCCTTCCAACGCTCTTATTCTGTTCTTCTGTTTTCCTCTCTGGAGGACATGGCTGCCCTCAATGAGACAGGGTCCCTTCCATCGCACACAGATTACAGATTAACAGAGTTGGAAGGGACCCTGTAGGTCATCTAGTCCAACCCCCTGCCCAAGCAGGAGACCCTATGCCATCGCTGACCCGGACTTCTGGATACACAGGGAGCCCTCGACTTACGACCGGTTGCTTAGCGACCATTCGAAGTTGTCACGGACCCCGCCACCCCACCCCACCCTCAGAAGTTGAAAGGACAATAATTGCTGCTCCTGCCTGGTTCCGTTGTTCACCCTTGCAACTGACTTGCAAGGATGCGGCCACCTGGCTCTCTTCAGCAAGCCAATGGGACTTCTTGCGAGTCAGTGGGCACCTTGGGTTGTTGTTGTTGTTTTAAAGGAGGCTCCATCACAATGAATGGGGCCTCCTTTAAAAAGAAAAAGAAAAAAACTGAACCTGCTTTAAAAACAAACGAGGGTGAGAATTGCACCTGGATGCAGTGCAGAAGAGCAGGAGGAGGCCATGAGGCTGGCCTCCTCCTCATGCAGGGAAGCTGAACATGGTGTGTGTGCTTCTTGCAAAGAGAGTTGGGGGGCCTGGGGGCCTGGGGGGGCTTAAGGAGCAGGCCAGGGCCTGCAAAGCCTTGGTAGGGGGCTTTTGCTGCCAGCTTTGGGCTCCCTTTGGGCCAGCAGGCTGGGCTCTAGGAGTGGGGGGAGAGGTAGGCCAAGGCCCACAGGCTGCAGCAGCCCACAAGGCCTGGTAGCTTCTCTAGGCAAGCTTGCCTGGCTAAATGGCTGCCTTGGGGTTAGGCCTAGGCTTGGGAAGGGAAGGGAGCAGCGGGGAGGGAAGTAGGCCGAGGCCTACACAGACTGTAATTATTATTATTTTTTGCTTTAGGCCCAGGGTCTTCAAACCTGGCCAAGTTTAAGACTAGTGGACTTCAACTCCCAGAATTCCTGAGCTAACATGGACTGGAGGTGGAATTCTGGGAGTTGAAGTCCACAAGTCTTAAAAGCTGTCAAGTTTGAAGGCCTTTGCTTTAGGCCAAGGGGGTCCAACCTTGGCCATTGGTAACAGGGGTCTCCAACTATGGCAACTTTTAAGAATTCTGGGAGTTGAAGTCCACAAGTCTTAAAGTTGCCAAGGTCGGAGACCCCTGATTTATAAGCCTTGTGGACTTCAACTCCCAGAATTCCCCAGCCAGCCATTTTGTAATGGCTGGCTAGGGAATTCTGGGAGTTGAAGTCCACAGGTCTTAAAAAGTTGCCAAGGTTGGGAAAGTGTTAGGTTTAGGCCTTGGGTGGCCGAATGGCCAGCTTGGGAAAAGGCCAAAGCCTGAAGGGGGACCCCGAGGGGCGTAGAAGGAGCCTCGAGTGCCTCAGGAGTGTGTGGGGGGGAGAACTTGGGGAGGGGCCGAGACAGGCCGACCTTGCCTGAAGACTCGTCCGAAGGCCTCTCTCATCCTCACTTTTAATAACCTGCACATTCGTTTTAATTGCTTTGGGAAGATCAGGAGTTGGTTGTTAAGTGAGATGCTCCACTTAACAGCCGTCATGATGTGCAACCGTCCATTACGGTCATAAGTCAAGGACTCCGTGTAAAGAAACAAAATTGTGGATGGAAATTCTTATTTTTGACGATACATATTATCTATTCGCATCCATTTTTCCTTTATTGCTTTATTGTTTTAATTCACTGTGTAGGGGTGTGTATGTGTGTGTGTGTGTGTGTTGCTATTTTTTAATTGCTTTGTCTCTTGCATTTCTGTGCCTTTTCCTGAAATTGAAATGATTTCTAACCCCCCCCCTCCCAATTTGGACCTGTTTTTCCATTGTCTCTGAATAGCTACGCGGTCCTGTTAACAGATGATAACAGATAATCAGAGTTGGAAGGGACCCTTGTAGGTCATCTAGTCCAACCCCCTGCCCAAGCAGGAGACCCTACGCCATTTCTGATAGATGGCAGGCCAATCTCTTCCTTGCGTCTCCCATGTTTAACCCCCTTATTCCCTTATTTTTCTTCTTCCTCCCCACCAGGCGGTAGATTGGACGACGGCTCCGATGTCGAATCGGAACCGGATCTTCCCTTGAAGCGCAAACAACGCCGGAGTAGGACCACTTTCACAGCCGAACAGCTGGAAGAGTTGGAAAAGGCCTTCGAAAGGACCCACTACCCAGACATTTACACTCGAGAAGAGCTGGCCCAGCGGACCAAGCTGACCGAGGCCCGCGTCCAGGTCAGCGAAAAACATCTGCGCTGGGGGTTGGAAGGGAGGCTGTGGGAACATGCATGCCAGGACGGCGCCAAGAATTTAAAAACTGGAATTGCCCCAGATGCAAAACCGCCTCTTAAAAATTCTGGAGAACCAGGTGGTTGGGGTTTTTTTTTCCCTTGCCATGTCCTGGGTGGGAAAAAATATATATTTCCCTTGTCCGCCTGCCCCCCCCCCCCCACACACATTGCATTAGAGAGATGTTTCTCTCTGCAAAACAAAATTACTGAGAATTTATTTTAAAAAATGAAATAAAATAGAGGGGTGTCAGCCAGATAGAATAGAATAGACTTCTTTATTGGCCAAGTGTAATTGGACACAGAAGGAATTTGTCTTTGGTGCAAATACTCTCAGTGCACATAAAAGAAAAGATACATTTGTCAAGAGTCAAGAATCATAAGATACAACACTTAATCATAGTCATAGGCTTATATAGTCATAGGGTATATAGTAAATGGAATATAGTCATAGGGTACAAAAAGCAATCATTTCATATTAGGAAACAGTCAGTATAGATCATAAAGATACAAGTGACAGTTACCGTCATACAGTTACAAGTGGGAGGGGATGGGCGATAGAAAGGATGAGAAGATTAATAGTAATATTAATGCAGTAGTGTAAATAGTTGGACAAAATAGAATAGAATTCTTTATTGGCCAAGGGTGATTGGACACAAGGAATTTGTCTTGGTGCAAATGCTCTCAGTAGACATAAAAGAAAAGATACATTCGTCAAGAGTCAAGAATCACAAGTTTCAACACTTAATGATAGTCATAAGAGTACAATAAGCAATTAAATCATACTAGGAAACAGTCCATATAAATCGTAAGGATACAAGCAACAAAGTTAGAGTCCTACAGTCCCAAGTGGAAGGGGAAGAGCGATAAGGAGTGATGAGAAGGTTAATAGTAATAGTAGTGCAGACTTTGTAAATAGTTGAACGGTGTTGAGGGAATTATTTGTTTAGCAGAGTGATGGCTTTTGGGAAAAAAATGTCCTTGTGTCTAGTTGTTCTGGTGTGCAGTGCTCTATAGCGTCGTTTTGAGGGTAGGAGTTGAAACCATTTATGTCCAGGATGTGAGAGGTCTGTAAATATTTTCACAGTCCTCTTTTTGACTCGTGCCATATACAGGTCCTCGATTGAAGGCAGGTTGGTAGCCATCGTTTTTTCTGCAGTCCTAATTATCCTCTGAAGTCTGCGTCTGTCTTGTTGGGTTGCAGAACCAAACCAGACAGTTATAGAGGTGCAGAGGACAGACTCCATCCTTCCTCCTCTGTAGAACTGGATCAGCAGCTCCTTGGGCAGTTTGAGATTTCTGAGTTGGCGCAGAAAGAACCTTCTTTGTGGTGCTTTTTTTGATGACATTGATCGCAAGTTAGAGAGAAGGAAAAAAGTTGGACAACCCTTTACAATTTTAAAAGCCTGGCAAATAAACCTTGGGTCACCTTTGTGTCCAAACACGGCACAGGTGAGGATTGTTGAAGTGAGTTTTCTGGAGTGGCAGTGAAGGAATTCGTGCAAGGTGGAAGACAGGAGTGGCACCTTGGCCATTTGGGCCTCTTATAAATGTAATGCACTGTTCATCTCACGGGTTTTGGGAGTTGAGAAAACTTTCTTTTACTCTTCACTCTGCCACCTTGTTGGAAGGTTTCCACAGGTTAACAAAGCAGCAACTTCTGTTTAATTTAATTTTAATGACGCATTGGCACGTGCAGAGTTTTGGAGGGCCGTTCACCTCACCAGTATCTTTACTGACTTCTTCATGGAGTTTTTGGACTATCCGTCAACGAAAAATGAAACGTTCTCACCATTTGAAAAAGGCGATGTTTTGGCAAGGACAGCCTCCTTTTTACCTGAAACATTTTGGTGTTCGCAATGTGGTTAGGGAAAGGGGAGAAAATCTCTCCCTCCAAAATTCAAAGCTGGAAGTTGCAGGGCTGCTTCTCCCATTCATCCTTCTTTGCCAGCACACTTCCAGCAGCTGTTCATTTCCCTGCGTTTCTCATGGTTTTCTCGTGTGTGTCCCGCCACCCCCCTTCTGGCAGCCTACGTATCTTCCCATCACTCTGCCCCCTCTTAAAATTTTCTGGGTATGAAAAAGGATCTTTTTACTGGCTCTGGAGACGTCCTGGATGGCAGTGTGGAAAAAAACAAGGAGCCGAAACGGAGGGCGGAAAAAACCCTTCCCTTTCTTTTCTACCCTTCTCCTTTTCCCCTCTCTTAACTACAAGGGAATGCAAAGAAAAATTAGCGGGTTGACGTTTGGAGTTCTTCGCTTAAAAACTCGGGGCTTTGTTAAGATTTAAACACTGAACCTAGGAATGGAGGAGCGAGGGATGGTGGTAGGATGGCCATGGAGACGGATAAGAGAACATAAAATCACATTTATTGTCGCTTTTCTCTGCAAACACACCGGCACACATAACAAAATGAAATTCTGATGCCCGCTCTCAAAAGAAAATAAATAACTAAGCATGCACATACATGAACACACATATACATAAATATATATATATATAATATATATATAAATATATATTGTGTTCGTCAGACAAACACAATACAGAAGCCTGATGATGGCAGATGAGATTCTGCCAAAACATTGCTACAACTTTAAAAGCACAACTATAATGACGTAGGAAAATACCCGAACAAAGTTGAATAACATTCATTTATCTATCTATCATCTATTTATCTATATTATCTATCTATCGTCTATCATCTGTTTATCATCTATGTATCATCTATGTATCATTCATCTATCTATCTATCTATCTATCTATCTATCTATCTATCTATCTATCATCATCTCTATATACCCTGTTTCCTCGAAAATATAAGCCCTACCCCACAAAATAAGCCCTAATTAAGATCCCACCCACTCCAGAGTGGATAGGTAAAAATTAAGCTAGGGTGGGATGGAGGGGGGGGTGTGGAGCTGCCCTACTCCTTAACTTTGGACAGTTATAGCCAGGCCTGGCACACCCGGACACCTGCCTTGCCAGCCCATTTCTGCAGCTGGCAAGGCTTTCCTGAAGGCCTCTGGAGCTGATAACAAAGCTCAGGATCGATCCAGAGCTCTTGTTATTGGCTGCAGAGGCCTTCAGGAAAGCCTTGCCGGCTGCAGAATAAGTTCCTGAAGGCCTCTGACAGCAAAAAGGAGGCCGGGGGCTGACGTGTGCAGATGAGATTAGTCAGTGGATGACATCCCCTGAAAATAAGACCTGGTGCCTTTAAAAACAAAAGACAGGGTCTTATTTTCGGGGAAACATGGCATCTATATCTATATCTAATCTGTATATGGCACAAAGCTATTACAAAACTTAGTTGTTCTGCTTTAATTGATAATTTGATTTGTACAAACAACTTACAAACGATTCATTTATAAGTGAACAAATTAGCCTTTTGTTATGTTCCTGGCTCCATTCCCTCCAAAGCAGTGCGAAGTTTCAAGAACCCATTTTTGGGTTTAACGTCGTACAGTGTCCCTTTTGTGGCAAGACGGTGAAACCTTTAAATGGTAGGATTGATGCGATATCATTGACGGTCGTCATAAATTCACAATAAAACCAATGAGAGGATCCCTGACTTACAACAGTTTAATGACTGTTTGAAGATACGACACCAGTGAAACATTTACAACCATGGCAGCATCTCTGTGATGACCCGGGACGTGGCACAAAAGCAACAAAGTCACAAAAGTAGGTAAAGTCCCTTTAATTACCTCCAACTTGGCCCCCAATGTCCAGTTATCATCCGCTGTAAAAAAAAACTCTCCCAAGAACAGTTTTTAAAGGGAAGAAATTCAGTCCGACCCCAAAATACATCCAGATTATAAATAGAAACCAACACAAACCACTTGCTGCAGCAATTAACGAGACAGGGCAGGATAAGGAATTGCAGAACTCAAAACATAACGAAACACACACGGTTGGGAGGATGCCAGAGAGGACCCAGATAAGACTTGACAAGCAAAGATAATGCACGCTTTGCTTCCAGCAAGGTGCTGTGCACAAACATTTTTTATGTCCTGTTTTCCCAGCTGCAGCTAATTGAGGGAATCAGGGCCTTTTTCTCCCCCGTAACCCACGTTGCTCCCTTATGCATTCTTCCCTGTGTGCCCTATGATGAAGAGGGGCTGGCCCGGGGTCTTCATCTGAATTCCCAGCCAGACTCTGCCCTTCCCCAGTTTCCTCCACAGCCACCATAGCCACACTCCCACTCCCTGTCAGCTGTTCGATCTCCCCCTCCGAATCAGATTCCAACAGGGGCATGGCAATCTCCATGGTCCCGTGATCAAAGTTTGGATGCTTGACAACTGGTGTGTATCTTATGACGGTTGCAGTGGTCATGTGATCTGACAAGCCACGTCAAGGGGGAATCCAGATTCACTTAACAACTGCAGTGACTTACTTAACAACTGCAGTGGTTTGCTCAACACCCTGTGGCAAGGAAGGTCATCAAACAGGACAGAACTCACTTTGAACAAATATCTCACTCTTTGGGGCTCAATTGTGGTCATAAGTTGAGGACCACCTGTAAAACTGAGAGAATTCCAGCTAGAATTGTGGCACTTCCTAAAAAGTGGCTTAGAGAGGGGGCAGAGCTAAGGACTTGTCCTACTACAGGTAGTCCTTGACTTACGACCGCAATGTCAGATTCTGGCAGTTACTCCAATTAAATCATGAGCCTCGAGGCACACTTCCAAAACTAAAAAGGATTTATTAGAAGTTAACATGCCTGACTCTGAGACACATAATTCACTGTCAGCCTTGATCCTGCTTTTCCCCGCCACCCCTACATTTTGTATGCACGTTTTATAGTTGTTGCACAATTGAAATTTCTGTTGCTAAGTGAGACATCGGTTGTTTTGCCCCATGTTTACCGTCTTTCTTGCCACTGTTGTTAAGCGAATCCTGCAGCTGATAAATTATTAACCCAGTTGTTAAGCGAATCTGGCTTCCCCATTGACTTGGCTCGTCAGGAGGTCACAAAAGGAGATCACATGACCCTGGGACACATACGGCCGTCGTAAATGGCGGTCCAAGCATCTGAATTTTGACCCCGGGGATGCTCAAAAGGTTGCAAACATGAAAAACGGTCGTAAGTCCCTTCTTTTTTTTAGTGCTGTCATAACATTGAATGGTCGCTAAACGAACTGTCGTACGTCGAGGGCAGAAGGATTGGGTTGGGTTGGGAGAGTGAATAAACTTTGAGCCCGCTGAAATTCAGCATGGCAGTGGCTGTGACTCTTAAGGTGGCTTTGCTGGGTTGGTGAAGGACGCTGGACGCTGGAGTCCGATCATCTGGAAAACTCTGCTTAATAGTGACAATGCCAGAGATGGTATTCGGCCGGTTCAGACCGGTTCTGACATACTGGTTGCGGAAATTTTGGCTGGTTTGGAGAACCACAATACTGCGGTGGAAACCTCCCATTCAGTGTGATGACCCAAAGGGGCGTGGCACAAAGGCAGCCCAGTCAGATAATCAGTAGGAGTCTCTTTATTAGCTCCAACTTTGCCCCCAATGTCCTGGTTACCTTTTGGCTGGAGAAAAACTCTTCCAGGAAACAGCCTTTGGCTGCAGAGAATCAAGTCCAAAACATGGTTAACAAAAACTGTAATTTTAAGTCCAATCAAGCCAAACTGAGGTAATTAGTTTGGCAGGGTAGGAGCAAGAATTCCAGACGGGAAGGCATGGCAGTAACTCAACACAGTTGGGAAGACACCAGGAACACAGATAAGCAAAGTCATCACAAGATAAAGTCACATTTGCTCCCAGCAGCTGCCGCACTCAACATGCATCTCCTTTAAACTCTCATTCCCAGGTGAGCCTAATGAAGGGAATCAGGGCCCTTTCCTCCCCCGTAAGGCATGCCACCCATGTTGCTCCCTTCTCCGTTCCTCCCTGCATGCCCTAGGATGAAGAGGGAGTGGACCTGGGTCTTCCTCTGAACTCCCTCTCCCTTGTTCTACCTCTCCCCTGCTCTGCCCAGCCGGACTTTGCCCTTCCCCAGTTTCCTCTACAGCCAACGGAGCCTCACCCCTACTCCCTGTCAGCTGTTCAGCTTCCTCCTGGGATTCAGTCTCCAACAGGGGCATGACACTCAGGACCAACTTTCGGGTAACTTGACGACCGGACCCTTCAATGGTGGCGGGGGGAACCCTTGCTGCTCTGTCCCCCTCCCCCCCGCCCCATTTCCTCTTTCTTCTTGGGTTGGCCCTATGGGAAGCCCTGGCTCTCCATCGGGAGCCGAGAGCTGCCTCTTGTTTATTTTTTGAAATGGATTCCCGTGGCAGGAGAGGCTCCTCGAGCGGCTGATAAAAACCTTAACAGTGATGGAGTGAAAAACAGCTTTGCTTTGAAGTGGGTCTCGCATTACCCTCTCCTGCTCCAGCCTGTATATTTTATTCACCCATAAAATGATTTATAAGCATTAAAAGAGAGGGAGAGAAAGAGAGAGAGGGACATCAGCTACCGTTCGGAGAAAGGGCGGTGGGGGGCGGAAATTAGAGATGGTAGGAACCGCTGGGCTGTATTTTTAAATCATCTGCATTTTCTTACATAGAAACACACAGACAAACACACACACACACCTCTAAGTAACAGCCGGAAGCTTTGGGCATTGGCCAATGCCTCCATCTCTGTCACTCCCTAGTTTTTCCTTTCTGTGTTGGAAAACAACAACAACAAGAAGAGAGGAAGAACGATACAAGCCGGAGAAGATGATTTTAAAAAAAGAAAGATAAGAGACAGGAGACCGGTCCCTTCCAACTCAGTTAATTTGTATCTGTAGCTATATTCTGCTGTACAACCCTGAGAGACAGGTCCTTCGATAGATGGATAAGGGTCGTGACTTGCCCGGTGGAGCCTCCTGTTCTGACCCAAACCCTTTTCCAATAAGACAAATAATAACCAAAGGGAACAGAAACCTTTTAATGAGTCTTACGAATCCCCGGTTAAAAGGCTGCTGCAAACTAATTAACTTTGATAAGCACAAACCTCGCCAAAACTATACGAGACTGCCACGAATCACAGATAAGAAATATTCCACAACACAAGAGTCTTCAAATACCAACTTAAAAAAACTGTAATGCCCACGAGGCTGAGTTTCAAAAATTTTTTGCTTCCTGCAAAGAACATTTGGTTCACAGCTGGCTTTTATCCTCTTGAAGGAGGGGCCATTACCTTGCAGCGTTACCCCCGAGTCGCCTGTGCTGTTGTAGCTGCTCTTTCCTGCAAGCAATCCTGCGTGCACGCGCACTTGGCACAGGCTCCTTGGGAACCTCCTCATCGCTGCTGCCAGCCCCCACAATCCGTGAAGGCAGCAGTCCACTCCCCAATGGTCCTGGCCCCTCCTCCGAGTCCTCCTCCGCCATCCGCACCTGCTGCCGGCTAACCACAACACCTGCATAGACAGGCCCAGTGGATCTTTGAGGGCAGGAAGCAACTAGGAACGCTTCTAATTTCATTAAACTTCCTCCTGTTCACTAGCTGACCTTCCCATCCTGGACACAGGGTAGTAGGCCCCCATTTTTATTTCTAAATTCTGCAGAGATAATCCTTGGCTGAATGACCAGCGACCCCATCGCTAAGCAGTGCGGTCCTTAAGCAAGACATCATGCGGCCGTGTCTTGCAATTTCACCCCGCCGGTTTCTCCATCGACTCCGCCTGTTGGAGGCCGCCCAAATGCTGACACCACGTCCCTTCTCCAGTATCGCCATCACTTGGGTTGCTAAACGGGGCAGCCGTTAAGCAAGGACTCCCTATATGTATAATACACGAATTTGAAGACGCAGAGGATAGCGGCTGTGCCAATTTTTATTTAGAATACCATCCAGAGGTGGCTTCCTGGACTTCAACTCCCCCCTCCCCCACCAACAGCTGGTGTTCAGAGATATACCCTGCCCGAATGGGGAGGCTCTAATCTCAGTACTTTGAATGCAATCTCAGGTTTTTACATACGAGATTGGGCAGTCATTTCTCCGAAACGATATGAGGTCTCCTGCTCAAGCAGCGGACCTCCAAAGTCCCTTCCAACTTGATTATTCCATATTTTGTACACTTAAGTCGATTTGTTCTCGATTTGAAATTCTTGGAGGGGGCCGCCAGCGCATGCCAGTTTTGGGGAGGAGTTGGAGGGGCTCGTATAAAAACCAATAACTCCTTCCCGGAGTGTGGGAAGCAGCAGAATTTCCCCAGGGCCCCAGAATTTAAGATAGTAGCAAAAAGAAAAAAAGAAAATATGCCATTTTAAATTAATGCCGTCATTCTCCATTCACCACCGAAGCCACTGCAGATGCGATGAGCTTCATCGTCCAGCGTCGCACCTGGCTTGTCCGTTACATGTCAGCCAAAATAAAAAAATTTTTTAAAAAGAATACCCACCCCTCCCCTCAAACTAATCCATCAAAAATCTTTGCCAGAGGAAATTTGGGGAAAGAAATATCTTGCATCCTGGGCTTAATGGACGAATATCGATGTCTTTAAACCCCGAGCTTTTGCCGTAGGGGTAAAAAAATATTATTATTTTTTTGGCGTGGTTTGGGCCTAACAATTCTCCCTCAGCAAAACGGGGAGTGTTTCCGGAGCGTTTTTTACATGCCAGGCTCCCAATTTAGCCATTTCTCCCAATTCCTGGAGTATGGATGATTATTATTATTATTATTTCTGTTTATTTTTTTCCCTCCCACTAAAAATCCCAGTTGCTCTGAAATTTAATCACATTGCTCATCCTGTGAGGCCTTGGAGATTTTTAAGCAGCTGCAACGCCGAAGCTCTTAAAAGCTAAAACTTGCCAATTGTTTCCTCCCCTTTCCCACTCACCCACCCTCCCTTTCCAACATGTGTGAATTTATGGCTGGCAATTTTGAAAAAAAATAAAATAAAATTAAGGCTTCCCGTATAGATTGTGGTTGCACGGAACCAGCGATGGGATGCAGCCAGTTCGCACCAGTTTGAGAGAACCAGTTGTTAACTTTCTGAGTCGTTTGGTGAAGTGGTTATTGGAAGAAATCATTAGGGCAGAGAGAACCGGTTGTTAAATTGTGTGAATCCCACCACTGCACGGAACTGCCTAGATTCCAATTAAGAGGCGGCAGCATTCATGCAGAGAAAGGGCCTATTGTTTGCATACGGATTATGTATTAATAATATTTTATTAAAAGTCACCATATGTCTCTAGGAAAAAGTCTAGAAAAGAGTGACAGATTGTCTCTTAGAACAGTGTTTTTCAACCTTGGCAACTTTAAGTTATGTGGACTTCCAACTCCCAGAATTCCCATGTGGACTTCAACTCCCAGAATTCCCTAGCCAACTGGCTGAGGAATTCTGGGAGTTGAAGTCCACAATTCTTAAGATTGCCTTGAGAAATATTGTCTTAGAAAGTAGGAATTTGTCAGTGGCCAGCAACTGCAAGACCAAAAAATGGCAAGAAGTGGGGCAAAAAAACCCTACCTGGATTTCCTAATTCTCTGTTACAGCTCTACCAACAGCTTACTTTGTTCCTTATCCAGCGCCCTCCTTTCCAGCTCCCATGATTCTCTGCCTCCTTGAGGGTTCTGGAAGTTGTAGTCCTACGCTAGAAGATGCCTTTATTTCCCCCGTCGGTGAGGTATCAGATGCTGTCAAGGTGCGCAGCCCGTAACAGGCTCCACCTCTCTCTCTCTCTCCCCAGGTGTGGTTCAGCAATCGGAGAGCCCGTTGGCGCAAGCAGGCTGGCGCTAACCAGCTGGCCGCTTTCAATCACCTTCTGCCCGGTGGCTTCCCCCCAACCGGCATGCCAACGTTGCCACCTTACCAGCTGCCCGATTCGACGTATCCAACCACCACTCTCTCCCAAGGTGAGTGCCAACTCATAAAATATCTCTACGGTCTTTTTTGAGTTGCCAACAGAAAGGGGACGGGGGGAAAGGGGTTTGAAAGAGCAGTGCGGCAGCTTGGAAGTCGAAAGTGCATTCCATAAATGGTTTTTCAAAGATAGTAACTAGGTGACTGAAGTTTCTGCCAGGCAAAATTCTAACTGGAGAGCATGATTGATGACTCTGGGCTATGGAAGTGTCCTATTGGAGGATATGAATTATGATACACTCGGGGTAGGGGAAAACCAAGGTCAGGGGTGACAATGAATGGTGTGTCTCAGCATTGGCTACACCCAAGCAGTGTTGGACATGTTAACTCCCAATAAATCCTTTCAAAGTTTTGGAAGTTTGGCTCGAGACTCATGATTTAATTGGGGCAACTGACGGAATCCTGACAGCCAGCCGTCTCTGAGCCTTCCCAGGTAGGACTGACAGGAAACACGACTGGTTGAGCTAATTCTATTTTCTTGCAAAGCTGTGTTAACGTAAACCTTGTAGGCCTGTCCCTTTTACAGTCCGAGAACTTAATGAATTCCCTTCTCATCCTTTTCAGAAGAAATTGGACAAGCATGGGTCTGAAATGTTACAGGGGTTCCTTCTTGAGCTTGACTAGAGGACCTCCAAGGTCCCTTCCAATTCTGATATTCTGTTATTCCACCTCTTTTTCCACCTGTTGTGCAGCGGAGGGTTAGGCTGCCTCTTGTCTAATCCTCCCTTAAGCAGCCTTTCTTCACCCCTCCTTCCAACCTCTTTCTCACGTGCCATTGCAGCCTCCGGAGCCTCGGGGCTCCGTCTGCCCTATCCTGCAATTAGGGTCACTTTCTCTTTTGTTTACAATCAGTTTCACCTCCCGCTTTGATTTGCACAATTCAAGGCATCCGGGCATCAAATGCCCTGCCTCTTCCTCTCTTCCTACAAACCGAAACAACAGCCCTGCGAGGTGAGTTGGGTCGAGCTGTGCAAAGTCACCCAGCCATCTTGTGCAAAGCCGAAACTCCCATGCTGGCTGGGGCATTCTGGGAGTGGAAGTCCTCACGTCTTAAAGCAGACCAGGTTGAGGAATCTTAGCTGCCTCTTCCCTCTTGAGGAAGCTGGTGTTCCCCTCCCCAGACTTTGGACAAAGTAAGGAATGAGGAGGTCCGTACTACAGTCGGGGGTCCAAGGAAGGGGACGATGGCCTCAAATCTGTTAGTCCTGACCCAGCCTTAGCAAGAGTAAGAAACTGACTCTTTGTCACGAAAAATCCCTCTTGCGAATGAATTGCATTCACCCACTGAAAAGTCCAGGCAATAATAGTCCTTCAAAGAGTTAACCGCAGTTCCTTGCGATAATCGCAAAACCATGAAAGGCTGCAAATTAAGTTCTGGCAAACAGCCTCGGAGCAAAATCTTCAGAAAGACAAACTCTTGTCTCCCACGACAACCACTCCGCTTTTCCTTCTATTGATTCCTCCAGCCAGGGAGGGTCCATTCAGCGCCCACCTATGCTTTACTTCCCGAGTCAACTCCTTGTCCTCCGTTGTTCCCCTCTCCTAACAGCTCTGTGCATACGCGCCTCTGGAACAGGCTCCAGCCGTTCTTCCTCCTCACTCACAGCAGCCTCCAAAGGCAGCCGTCTGCCTGGTGGCTGGAAAATGTCGGACGGCCCTGGCCCTATCTCTGCATCCGGTGTAGAGCATCCATCAGAGCCTTCCCCAGACTCCAGACTTGGCCCAAGCTCCTCCCCAAACTCCTCAACGTCCTAGTCTTCCACCAGGTCCACTGGCCGCTGGCAGGCCACAACAGTTGCAAGGGGTTTACCCAAAAATGCATTGCCATTCCTTTCTGGATGGCTTAGTGTCGTTGACTTCTCAAGCTAGCGTACCATCCTGGGGGAGGAGGGGTGTCTATCCCTTTCCTGGTGGTCTCCTTTCCAGTCCCCCTTACTCCTCAAGGAAATGCACGTTCCCCTCCTGAATCATTAGTTGACTTCTCAAGCTAGCCTTCCCCGTCCTGGTGGTCTCTCATCCAGTCCTCTTCTCCGTTGGCGCTCCAAGGAAATGCTTTGACCTGCAAGCCCCTCTTTCTCACGGCTCCTTCTTTCCCCGCGCAGACGGAGGCAGCACCGTACACCGGCCCCAGCCTCTCCCACCGTCCACCATGCACCAGGGGGGCCTGTCCGCAGCCACCCCCGACTCCAGCTCTGCCTACGGTGCCCGGCACAGTTTCTCCAGCTACTCGGACACTTTCATGAACCCCAACGCTCCAGCCAACCACATGAATCCCGTCAGCAACGGCCTGTCTCCACAGGTAAGTCGTTCTTAACCGTTCTTCTCCAGCCATTTGCAAAAACAGAAACAAACTGGGCTGGGGGCGGGGGTCCCTTGGAAGAGTGATGGTCCCCTGAGTGGGTGGGTGGGTGCTGCGGGAATCAGAGGTCCCCAACTGGGACAGCGTATTGCTTTGCAGGTATATTAAATTCTTGCACCCCACCAAGGCAAAGATGGATAAGGCATCGCATTCTACAAACCGTTTTTGTTCGTTGACGTCACCTGTGTTTTTTCCTCCCTTGTATTAGCCTCTCAACGGGGGCTCAATTTCCCCCACCCCACCCCAGATCTTGCTAAAATGTAAAAAAAATTTTTTTTTACCTTGTGCCGATATTTCTATCTTCAGAAATCCTCGCGGATCCCTAAACTGGTCGTTTGTTATATTTCCGTGACTCGCAAACTTTTTTTTACTTGGGATTGTTGTCGGGCTATTGTTTGAATTTTGTCAGGAAAATGGGGGATCCAGGTTGGGGGAGAAGCTGTGGGTTCCTGACTCTTTTGGGGATCCCCCCCCTACTCCATTTTGGCCCACTTGGACAGAGCCAGCAAAGGTAGAAATTTTTTTTAAAAACCCATCTACTGCTTTGTTCCACGTCAACAAATCTCAGCCATCCATCCAAACTGGCCTTCTACACACATAATTTAAGTTTATTACTGGTGTTTTTGAGCAAGGCGTGAGAAAAATTCAGATCTGGATCCCTTTTCCTCCTGCACGCATTTTAGACACGTAATTTTATCGATGGAGCAGTAAAATTTGGTCCCCAATCACCAGCACAGAAAAGGATTTCTGAGAGAGAGAGAGAGAGAGAGAGAGAAAATCCGCCGCACTAAACGTGTCTCTTCTTTTGATGTGTTTGTCTGAAATTATTTTGATTGTACCGCGTGGTCTTGTAAAACGGATTGAAAGATGTTCTGGCTTCTGTCGTCCCAAGGAAAGGGGTTGTGGCTGCTTATTTGCTGATTTGCAAAATGGAAAAAGCACACCTTATAGTTTATTGCTTTTTAAAGGCTTCATTTCCATCCGAAGGGATGATGCAGATCTATAAGAAAGAGTAGTAAATTAATCATGCATAAAAATAATTGGGGCTCCAACATTTAGGGAATTCCTTTAGGGAAGGGAACTGTGAAACCCTGAAGGTGTGGGTACAAAACCATTTATCCATATTTTGTTTGTCTTATCACCTTTCTTTCCTGCAAGGCTTAATTTGGAAAAGCCAAAGATCCTTCTTAAGGTGCAATTTCCTAATTATGTGGGTTTTCCCGAGGGGAAGACGTTCTGTACATGAGGCCGGTTGAGAAGGACCCCGGAGAAAAATCAGGAAAAAGAGAAGTGAGGGCTGAGCAATCAAATAGAACCCCCCCCAAATGGGAGAAAGATAAATTTAGTTCCTGATTATGGACACCTGGAAGTTGGTTTGCAAAGCAGAGGAGATCCTTTTCAACCCAATTAGCCAGTAAGAAAAAATAATCTTTCAATCTAGTTCTGCCAATTTTCCACTTAGGAGGTAAAAATAGAAGAGAAATAGAATAGAATAGAAGAGAAGAGAAGAGAAGAGAAGAGAAGAGAAGAGAAGAGAAGAGAAGAGAAGAGAAGAGAAGAGAAGAGAAGAGAATAGGAGAAAGAGAAGAGAAGAGAAGAGAAGAGAAGAGAAGAGAAGAGAAGAGAAGAGAAGAGAAGAGAAGAGAAGACACAATAGAATGCAGAATAGAATAAAATAGAATAGAATATAGAACAGAATAGAATAGAAATGGAATAAGGAATAGAATAGAATAGAATAGAATAGAATAGAATAGAATAGAATAGAATAGAATAGAATAGAATATTCATTATTGCCCAAGTGCAATTGGACACACAAGGAATTTGTCTTGGTGCAAATGCTCTCAGTGTACATAAAAGAAAAGATACATTTGTCAAGAGTCAAGAATCATAAGGTTAATAATAGTCATAGGCATAATACGCAAATCAGAGCAATTTTATTCCAAAACACAGGGACAGCATAGGGATTCAACCTTCAAAATTGGGAGAAAGGGAAAATAATTTTGCATTCCCTTCCCCGGAGAGGTAGGTTTGATTTGAAAATTCCTAAACAGCGAGGTGGAAATAGATTAATTATAAGTGCAGCATTCTCTTTGCAAGAGACAAAAATAAATTAAAACTGTATTCACGCTCACACCAAGCTACTTTCAAGCGCTGCGCACTTTTACACATGGTTGGCTTAGAAAGGCCGGGCGGGAGATTTTGTCATTCATTCATTCAATGTCATTGCGCACGTGTCGTGCATCGGCAAAATAAAGGTTTGAGCTTGAAATTAAGGAGATTAAATTTTTTAGGAGAAAAAAAAAATGAATCATTTATCCCAATAAAAGAGGGTGGGGAAGTCAGCCCGCCAGGGATGAAGGCATTTTTTAAAAAATATCTACAATAAAACGTCCCACGCTGCTTTAAGGAATTGGAAAAGTTTCTTATTGCATCCGCCGGTTACAACGAGCGTCTCTCTCAGGCTGTTTAACGGGGCAGTTATTCAGCCAACGGCTCTCTTGGGCTTATTCTGACCTCTTCCTAAATTGGGCTCTGAACCTTCTTCCCCCAAAACCTGCCAGCCACAATATTTTCCCTCTTTCGTTCCAAAGAGGAGAGGTGACAAGCCCTGTGCCCAAAGGTTGCAAGTGTGGGGTTTGAGGGAGGTTTCTCTCTCTCTCTCTCTTTCTTTCTTTCTTTTTTGCAAAAGTCTTGTACCTCCAAAGGCTTAAAGCCTTCGGAGCCACGAATTGTGATCCTTCCCCAGCTCCGGCCTTTCGCAAATTGGCAAAGCGCGCCGGGTCTCTCTCTCTTAATGCCTCCTTCTCTCCCTTGTTCGCCGTAATGCCCCGATGTTCCCAATCTGCTTTGAGGGATGGAAAGATTAAGAATAATAATAATAATATATAAAAAAAAAATTGCAATAAAATATGTGTGAACGCGGGGGTAATTGTGGACAAATGCGGCATTCAAATTCATTTTTCCACTTCTTTCACATACCATTTCAATCTTATTTTCTGCTTATTAATGAGATCTTGTTGGCTGGAATGGGCAGAGCTGCCCGTTTTCTGGAGTAATTGCACATAATTTTCTTTTCCAGCCGAGATTTGCATCTTCGCCGCCACCCCCTTCATTCTTCACTGTTTAACAGGGGCCCCCCCTCCTCTCTCCCCCTTTCCAAATCTCCCTCTTTCCTCCCCCCCTTCCCTTATTTCACCCCCTCCCTGCCTGTCTGGCAAGACTTAATTTTAAATGCTTATTATACACTTAGACACTTGGACCAAACCAAGCAACGGGTGGGCAGAACGAAACCCTCCGTGTCAACCTCCCTTTCTCCTCCTTTTCTTTCTTGGCTCCCTTGTTACCAGCCTTATCGCGGTTGTAATTAATGCTCTTTAAAAAAAAACCTGGGTAAAATCAGTATTGTAGTTGTGGAGAAAATGCACACACACACACACACACACCCCGAATGTGGCTTGAAAGTTTTCTTTTCTCGGAAGAAATTCAAAACGGAGAACGGCGCCATTCCCCCAAGTTTGGTTTTTTTTTGGGGGGGGGGGCGAGTTTGGTGTTTGGAAGGGACAGTGTGGATGGGTGTCAACAATGCGACACACCATTTTTGTCACGTGGCTTTGTCTATCTTGGGTCTTCCATTGTGGTACATCTTTTCAGTCATGAATCTCTTCTGAAAAATACTCAGCAAATGATGGCGATTTAGATTCACGTCAAACCTTATTCCATAGCCTAAGAATTATCAGAGAGAGAGAGAGATGATAGATAGATAGATAGCTAAATAGATGAGAAGATAGGTAGGTAGGTAGGTGGACAGACAAACAGACAGACAGGTAGCTAGCTAGCTGGTGGATAGATAGGTAGATAGATGGGTAAGTGGACAGACAGACAGAAAGACGGGTAACTTGATGGGTCGGTAGGTAGATAGACAGGCAGCTAGCTAGCTAGCTAATTAACCTGATAGGTAGGTAGGTAGGTAGACAGGCAGGTAGACAGGCAGGCAGATAACTTGATAGGTAGACAGACAGACAGACAGGTAGCTAGCTAGCTAACTTGATGGATATATGGATAGATAGGTAAGTAGATAGATAGATAGATAGATAGATAGATAGATAGATAGATAGATAGATAGATAGATAGATAGAT